AAAAGAGAGGGTCCCACTGTTTGAAGATGCTGACCTGACCTTGGGCTCCTCCAGCCCCAGCCTCCCTGAGAAGCTGTGCTTTGTTTTTGTGTTGAGGTTAAACCCAAGGCCTCGCCATGCTGGGAAAGCACTCTATGGCTGAAACCTAGCTCAGCGCCAGGTGTCACCTCTGTACCAGAGGCTAAGCCAAGGCTTCCCACCTGGATTAGTCCCCAGCACAGCCAGGAAGCTCCGCCTGAAAAGGGCTGGAGCCAGGAATATGGCACTTTACCGAATTTCAGCCAGTGATTGGATAATGTTGGCTGTCAGTCACGATGCGGAGGCGGGCCTGAAGGCTATCCATCCGGGACGCGAGGGGGGGGGGACTGTCCAATCAGTGCGCAGAGGGAGAGGAAGGGCGGGCTTCCGCAATCTCGCGGTTTTTTTTCTTCCGGGAATCTGCTCCTGATCCTTCAAGCCAAGAGTTCTCCGCTCCAGGGAGTCAGGTGACTTTGCGCAGCCTGTGTCCCCACCCCTATCTTGAGTGCATGGAGGTTTTTCAAGAGTATGCGGGGTCACCACAGAAGACAAAAATGGTGAGTTAGCGACCAAGGCTGAAGGTACATGTCACCACCTGCCTTGGGGCCGGCGGGCGGGTGAGCTGGGGAGCGCAGAGGTGTCCCCGCTGGCTCGTGTCCCTGTTCCTTGGTCTCGTAGGCTGAGCTGGGTTTTGGGTTTTTGAGGTGAGCTGCTGAGCGTGGCAGAGTCCCCACTGGAGGGTGGCCCTGGACCCTGTCCCCCGGTTCCCTGGGTTTGGAAGGGCGGCTCAGGTCCCTGGTGTCCCCTTTGCTCCCTACTGGTGACCGGACCCACTCTTCCCAACGTGGAGGAAGCAGGGCCACAAATGCACCTTCCTCCTTCCAGGGGAGCTCCTCCGGAGGCTGCTGTAGGTCCCCCAAATTGCAGGCGCCTCCTGCCTCTAAAACCACCTTCCCTCCACCTCACAGCTCGGCCAGACGTTCGTTCTTCCCACTCGGTCCAAATGGACACCGCCCGCTAATTGTCACTTTTCATCTAGTGAAATATTGGAGAGAATAGTTCTTTTCTTTTAATTGGGGACCCAAACTCGGGGAACTTTATCAGCCACATCCCCAGCCTCCACTTTTACTGAATTCTGAGATCTGCACCCACTTGGTGTGGAAGCTGGTCTCCAACCTGTGATCCTTCTGTTACCGCTGTTTACCAGTGACGAGTCCTTGCTTCCCCGAATGCTGAAGTATATCACCAGAGAAGCACGATGAGGCAAGTGTGGAGGGGAAAGTAGAAGGTTTATTAAAGGACAGCAGAAAAGACTTCTCCCTGCAGCAAGAAGCTGATCCAAGAGGTGAAATCCCTGTAAGGGGAAGGTTTTCCCTCTTTTATAGCTAAAGTCTTCTTTCCACTTTCCCACACTTTCTCATTATGCTGCAGTGATAGAATGCAGGTGGGAAGGTCCAAAAGGTGGGAGATTGGTGGGCTGGAGGAGTAATCTGGGAAGGAAAGGCCTGGGGTGGCTTTTGGATTATGATTAACAGTTCCTTAGAATGGATTCCTGCCTTGGGAACATTAACATTTCAATTGCTGCTCTGGTTTCCAGGACTCCATTCCCTATAAGGGCCTCTGTTTTATTTATCTTACACAATATTAGACCCAATTTGCCTAACTACCTATCTGTAAATCTGGCTTCAATTCTGCTTCAGCCTCCAAAGTTCCTGGGATTAAAGGGCTGTATGGAGGGGACAAAACTGTGACTTATGCAGTCAAGGGGAGAAATAAAGGATGTCCACACAGTTCTGCCCCTTTCAATGCTCTATTCACTCAAATTACTCAATACAGTTTAAGTGTATAGGTTCTTAATGAAGAAAAACAACAATCCTTAATGCTAGGTATTGCCATAGACATAGTCAATTCACAGCAAACAATTCTAGGTTAATTAATTCACGGCAAACAATTCTAGATTCATTCTAAGCACTGGGAAACACACTTAATCATGATAAGCTAATGACAGACATTCCCTCTGCATGCTAAGTTCAAAGGTCTTATGTCTTAGGCTGTGAGTCCAGCAGATGCACAGTCACTCAGACCTCGGTGACCAGGTCGGGAACTAAGGCAAGCATTTCCTGGTGTGGAGCAGAGGACCAGTTGAGGAGGGGGTCCTAGGGAGGAGGTGCAGCTCCCACCAAGGTCCGGTGAGGCAGTAGAGTTTGAGAATGGTGAGGATCTTGCAGAGGCTCAGGAAAGATGCCAAGTGATGGGATGTCAGGTCCTCAGCAGGCTCTCCAGCTCGAGTGCATCCTTGTTTCTGATGGCTGAATTCCTGTTCATCAGCTCTATCATTTATACTAAATTTGGGGGCTTTTGATCACCCTTTCAATCCTTATCAGCTACCACCCTATTTCTCAGTGACATCATTTACCCTGGGATCATCTCCACCCTGATCTTCGTCTTTCCCTCTCATCAGGCTAGGACAGCCTGCCAGAGGCTTCACTCTCTTTATCAGGGTGAGGGGAAGGAACTTGTTTGAGGCCTTACTGGAGGGATCTGTGGATGTGCCTGGTGAACTGCAGGTCTTTTAAAATGGAGTTGCTTAGGCTCAGGCCTAAGGCCATTCTAACAAGGCCTGTGCCACTGTCCCTGGCAAGAAGAACACTTTTGAAAGGATTTGTTTTCTATCTGTGATTATTATACTTGAGAGGAAATAATAATCAATTAACAGTTCCCTGTGTTTGGTCAAAATAATTACTTTAAAAGGAAAAAGGCATTTGTACATAGAACCTAGGGATAATGAATCTTGGGTTATGTTCTAAGCCCCCCTGCCCCAATTTGACATAAATCATTTATTTACTTAAATTTGTTTTTATTAGTTATACATGGCATTATAATGCATTTTCACACAGTACACATAAATACAGTGTAACTGCTCTTTTTTCTGGTTGTACTTGATGTGGATTCACACCAGTCCTGTAGTCATATATGCACATAGGATAATAGTGTTTGATTCATTCTTCTGTTCTTAATCCCCAACTCTTTAAATTTGATTTTCAGATGGAGTCTGGCTATGTTGCCCAGCCTGGCCTGTAAGTCCTGACCCTCTTGCTTCAGTTTCTCAAGGTGTTAACATTAAAGGCTTTGGCAATCCCAGCTATGGAAACTAGTTCATTTTGATTTAAATATTAATTACCATACTCAGAAACATGGATTCAAGTGACCCTAAATGATGTATGTGTCCCACCCTGAAAGACAAGGATTAAACCCAGGGGCACTTAATTACTGAGCCACAATCAGTCCTTTTTAGATTGTATTTTGAGACATGATCTCATCAAATTCCTTATGGTCTCACTAACTTGCTGAGGCTGACTTTGAATTTAGCAATTCTCCTACCTTTTCCTCTAAACCTACTGGGATTACAGTCGTGTGGCACAGTGCCTGGCCTACATGAACTTATATAAAAGAATCTGTGTATCACTACAATAACCAATTGCATTAGTAGGATCATCAGATTGGTGGGCTACAGAAAGAAAGGATGGAAGAAAAAAAAATCTCTTCTGACTGTTGTTATTACATTCTTACTTTGGTAGACGGTGGGGACTAGATGTCTGGTAAGGGTAGTGATATATTCTGAGAAATTTAATAGTTTTGAGAATTGTGGTCTGATACAGAAATAAAGATAATTGGCTATTAAAGGGCTTAAGATAGCCCAAGATAATTTTTTTTTTTTTTTTTAAAGAATGAGTGAGAGAGAAGGGGACAGAGAGAAAGAGAGAGAGAATTTTAACATTTATTTATTTTTTCTTAGTTCTCGGCGGACACAACATCTTTGTTGGTATGTGGTGCTGCTGAGGATCGAACCGGGGCCGCACGCATGCTAGGCGAGCGCGCTACCGCTTGAGCCACATCCCCAGCCCCAAGCCCAAGATAATTTTTGCTCTCCATACAGAACCCTGCCTTTCCACCCTCATGGTAGTCTGGTTAGCCAAGTCAAGTACTCTGAAGGTTCTTTGATGTAGATGCAACTGTATAGAGAACTTGAGTTCACAGCTGAAAAAATCTTGTGCTTCTCCTTTTATCTTCCTTAGGTGTAGACACCATGTCAGATTTCTTGGGCAGAGGTTACCTTTGAACTCCTCACAGGGTCCTATGTCCTCAGCCACTGTCCTCTCCTGGAGCTGCCCCAAGGTGCCCACAGCTGCCCTTGTCCCTGCAGGATAAACAGAACTTCAGGCCCTGGGTCAGCTCCTCCTGGAGGACAGCCTGAGGTGTGGGGTGCAGCCTCTCAGGGAAGCTGCTGGGGGCTCTGGGCTGAGGAATCTCCTGGAACAGGCCTCATCTAGACAGCTACTTCCTTGGGACCTTGTTTTCTCAAGTTCTGTTCAGATTCCTTGGAGAGAGGTGGATAGTCAGCCTGTGGATGCTGGTGCTGAGGGGCCAGGTCACCAGTGATTCCTGCCCTTTTAGTCTCACAGTGTGAAGGAGCGAAACCTCTCCCAGAGCATAAGGACCACCCACCCCAGTGCAGAGCTGTGCAAACCTGAAAAGCCTCGTAGACTGGAGTCATGGTCTAGGTCCCTGGGAGGGTGATCCTAGAGGCTTTCAGGAAGCAAGACCAGGAGAGGTCACATCCCAGATGTGAGGGACCTTCCCTGCCCCTTGAGCCTGACACATGTGTGCTCCCTCAGCACCAAAGCTTTCTGTGTATCACTTTGCAATGATCTGCTCACATTTTGAGGCCCAGGTCTATTTTTTCAGAGCCAAATGGGATGGACTATTATTAAATAGGCAAGAAAGAAGTGGATTTTAAAAAGTCTAGTAACATTTTCATTGTTAGAACAACTACAGCCAGGTACAGTGGTGCACACCTGTGATCCTTGCTGTTCCAGAAGCTGAGGCAGTAGGATTGCAAACTTGAGGACAGCCTTAGCGACTTAGCCAGGCCTTATGTCTGGGGATGTGACTCATCAGTAAAGTTCCTCTGGGTTTTATCTCTGATCCCAAACCAAAGAAAAAGAACAGAAGAGAAAAACAAACAAACAACAACAACAAAAAATAAACACATCTAATTTATCTTTTGCTACCCCTGAGATTGCATAGAAAATTGGTGAGATTTGATCTTGTCTTTTCAATGATTTCCAATTGAAATCCATGTCCTAGATTCCAGAATGCCACTTAAGATACAAAGAAACTCTGTCTTCCATTATTGCTGCAGGAAATGAATCCATTTCTACAAAAATTGTAGTGGATAAACTTATGAATTTGATTTTATGTAAATTTGTTACAGTCATTGACAAGCTCATGAATTTGACATGAATGAGTTTGTTGTTACTGTTTTTTTCTGGATTTGGCAGGTTCATTTTAGCTGTGATGTTTTTGGTATCAGGAATGGAACCCAGAGATGCTTAGACACTGAGCCACATTCCTGGCCCCTTTTAGATTATTCCTATTGAGTCAGGGTCTAGCTACATCACCTTGGGCCTCTGACCCCTGAACTACAGGGGTTACAGATGTGCACCATCACACCCATCTTCATTGGAAGTTTTAAGGACAATATGGCAATACCTAA